TCCTTTGGCATCATTTGAAACCTAAATTGTGAGTGAGCCAATCCTCCCTACACTAGTAGAAAAACGAACAAACTAGACAGAATATAATTCCGTCTAGTTTGAGGTAACCTAGATGAAATTATTTCCATTTAGGTTGTTTCGTTTATTTTGGGGACATTCTAGACGGAAATTTCCATCTACAATGCCAAACTAGAAGGAATTTTTTTTTTAAAAAATTGAAAAGCAACTAGACGGAAATTTTGTCTAGATTGCCAACCTAGACGGAATTTCGTCTGGGTTATGTTTAATAAAAAAATTAAAACAAAACCCTAACCCTATCCCTTCCACCCTAGCCCCCCAACTCCTAATCCCTCCTTCCCTCGTTCCGCCTCCTCGAGAAAACCAGTGCTTACCCCACCCCGACACCTTCCTCCTTCTACTTCTTTTCCCTCTCTCTCATCCCTCTCACAGCGCACAACCTTCCCCACCAACGCCCTCTCATCTCTCCACTCGCTCCCCACCCTCATCTCATCTCGAGGTGCCAACCCTTTCTCCTCTCCAGTACCCCCTCTCGGTCCCACTAGCCCTTACCTACGGTGGTGCCCCGTCCTCCCGTTGCTCCTCTCGCACCGCCCTGCTCCCGCTACCATCCTCCCCCTCCATGGGCCTCCCCCGCTAACCCCCTATGATCTCTCTCTCCTCTCCGGCTTCCCCGTCTCCGCCACTTCCCCGCCTGTGACTCTTCTGAACTCCCAAGTTTGATCTCTTGATCAGATCACTCCCCAAGTGAGAAACTAGCTTCGAGAATTTGTTCAAATGTTGTGATTTTTATTTCGTTCGATATTAGGTGGATGATCAAGGTTGAGACTTTGGTGCTGTAACTGAACCCATCAAACCTGAGGTTTGGGGAAACTGAACAAGATTCAATCTTGGTGGGTGTTACTGGTTTTGAAAATTCATCGAAGCTGTATCTTATTTCCATGTAAATTTCTTGGCAGGTTTACGGTGAATCCACGAAGGAGGATTCGACAGCACAATGGGGAGATTGGGTGCGATGCGTGGCGGACAAAGCGAGGGCGGCCGTTGGAGATGGTTCTTTGCGTCTATGG